TGTTTCCAGTGTGATGAGCAAGGTGCCAGGTGGAAGTGCCTGCAATGTCTTTGTGTTGAACTTGGTTGGCAGGTCAGTTTGTGAATTGGGTCCAGACAGTAGACAATGGGAAGGCACCCTCTGACCTGGCCTTCACTCCAGCGGCCTTGGCTGTCTCTTTATCTCATGCTGAGTGTTACGCAATGATCTTATTTATTAGAACTGAAAGAGCACAGCTGACAGAAGGAGGGAGAGGAAGCCCTGTTCTGCTTTATCTCATTTCTAGTGAGTCCGGACTGCAGGGAAGTCACGCACAGGGTGTTCCCATGGCCACATCATTCCTGGCTTCTCTTCTCTACAGTATTCTTATTGATTGAATGTGTATATGATATACGCGTACAGTTTTTGTGCATATTTGCATGTATGTTTATTTCACTCATTGCCATGGTTCTTATTTTCTGACTCTGCAACTCATTGTAAAATTCAATGAGAATAAGTTATAGATCTTTTCCCCAGAACAAGGTACACAGGTATATACTGTGAAAATTTATAATTTTATAATTTATAGTTACCTGAAAGTCTCCTCATGTTTCAGATAACAAGCCCTTTATAATCTTAAAAGACTACATTACCAAAGATTTAAAAATATTATGTGTTGCTAATGCCGTTAAGTGTATGTATTATGTGATGTGATTTTTTTTTTTTCATATTGAAAGTCTGGAGGATTATGAATGGAGGAAGACGAAAGTAAACTTCAAGTGTAATAATTTGAACCGCTGAGATGAACAGAGGACATTAGAGGAAACAGGAACCACTCTTGACTTCAAAACTTCAGTTTCAAAGTAGCTGGAATGGAGTATCCCTGTGACCTGTAGTTGAGCATGGCCCTGCCCTTTAGGGCCTCTGCTCTGAGAGGAGACTCTTAGGGATCTCACAGTTAAGCTTATATTCTCTTTAGTTGAAAATGCAAATTCCTTGTACCAGACTCAGGTAACCACTTCACTACTTTCAATTTCGATGGAATCTACTCTTTCAGGTTCGTATGAATAGCATATGCAGTATCTGTCTTTCTGAGCGGAGTTTTTGTTAAAATTAAGAATTATCTTCATCTGACATTTATTAATATAGGTAATAAAGAATTAGACCCAATTATAAAGGTATCATTAAGTTTTTTGGCAAATTAACATCCTATATTACTTTCAGGGCTTTTAAAACAATTTTTCCTTTCATTGTGTAACATTTCAATTTGGCTGGTAAAGTTTCAGCTTTCATTCTAGCCTGCTTTAGGAAACTGGACATATCTTTTTGAGACTGTGACATTGGTTTGTCTCTAACACTGTCTCTGAAACTGAAAGACATAGATCTCTATCCTCCAAGAGATACTGACTAGTCAAACGGGCGACTGATGATGAAGGCGCCTTGACTGTTTCTGAGCCCTCCCTTCTAAATTCTCTCTTGTTAATTTCCTTTTCTTTCCTGTCACAGATCAGACCAAATGATCGAGATAGATGTCCTTCTGGGGAAAACAATAGCTCACTTCACTAGACCAAATAGTGTCTTTGGTTAGAAGAAATAACACAGGTATTTGTTCTTTAAACATTAAAAAAATGTATATATGTTCTTCAGCTAACTCCTCAAACCCCTTTCAAACTAGAATTAAGCTTGTTTGGCTAATACTCATTTTGAGCACCCAAATTTGAACAAATGTTAAGGCCACAGATTGTTTTATTCATTTTTGGATTCCTAGATCCCTAGTATATTGCTAGTCTGTGCAATAGACAGATGCTGGTTAAAAACATACATGACTATATATTGCATAAAAAACTGGAAAATTTTACTGTATTAGTATATTTCCCTTTTTTTTCTTCCTATGTAGACCAGGCTGGCCTCCAACTCACAGAGATCTGCCTGCCTCTGCCTCCCAAATACTGGGATTAAAGGCGTGCACCACCACACCTGGCTACTGCATTGGTATATTTACTTTTTTTTTTTTTTTTTCGGTTTTTTTGAGACAGGGTTTCCCTGTAGCCCCAGGTGTCCTGGAACTCACTATGTAGACCAGGCTGGCCTTGAATTCACAGAGACCCGCCTGCCTCTGCCTCCCGAGTGCTGGGATTAAAGGTGTGTGCCACCATGCCCCGCAGTATATTTACTTTTAATGAAGAGCTCAGAATAAAAATTATAGAAATGATCTGAACTTCCAGAACTTTGAGTAAGGAATTCATTATTCTGAGAAAAATCTTTGTACCTGAGTCAGTTTTGTGTATCTTTTTTTTTTGAGACTCCATTTTTGTTAATTATCAGTGAGAACTTAATTCTTCATAATTAATAATATTTAACTTTTTATTTTAAAAATATTTTTATTTTTATTTTATTTTATGTGCATAAGTGTATTGCCTCCATGTAAGTAAGTGCACCTGTTTCATGCAGTGCCCACGAGGTCAGAAGAAGGTGTTGGATCCCCTGAAACTGGAGTTACAGATGGTGGTTAGCTGCCATGTAGGTACTGGGATTTGAACCTGGATTCTCTGCAAGAGCAGTCGGTGCTCTTAACCACTGTGAACCATCTCTGCAGCTCCAACTTTTTGTTTTTATGTCTTTAGCATCTGGCATATCTCTGACTTCTTGTCTGAATGAGAAACCATTGTGTGTCCTTTAAAAATATTTATGCCAGGTATGGTGGTGCACACCTTTATTTAGTCTGAGCACTTGGGAGGAGAAGTAGACAGCTCTTTGTGAGACTGAGGCCAGCCTGGTCTATATAGCAAGTTCGAGACCAGCTGGAACTATAGGGAGACCCCATCTCACAAAAGACAGAAAAACTTAATTTTGTGTATATGTCTGTGTATGTACAGGCATGTGCATGCTGTGGCACATGTGTGGAGGTCAGAGGACAACTTTCTGGAGTTGGCTCTCACCTGCCTGAATCTGGGGATTAGATTCAGAGTAAACTAAGGGAGCAAGTACCTCTATCCACTGAGCCATCTTTTCAGTCCACATGTGTCTTTTTATATACTACATGCGAAAGTATAGTTTTACAACTTTTTAAAAATGTTCAAATCAGTATCATTAGATACTTTGTTGATACTTTTTATTTGATAATGAGAAATTAGAATTATATAAATATTCGCTTTATATTGGAATGGATGAGGCAGTCAAAGCTGACAGATTTCCTTTCTCTACTATAGTACAGACATCTGAGAAAGACAGTGTACAAAGTTTACTTGAGGCCTCTCAGGACAGTTATTTAGTTTTTTCCCCTAATCAAATGTCTGTGTTTCATCAAGCAATAGATTTAGTTTCTGAGATGGTTTTGAGAAATTAGCTTTTTAAAAAAATATTTTTATTATTTTTATTTTATGTGTATGTGTGTATTGCCTGCATGTATGGAAGTGCACCTGTGCCTGAGGAGGTCAGAAGAGGGCATCGGATCCCCTAGAACTGGAGTTATGGACAGTTGTTAGCTGCCATGTGGGTGCTGGGATCTGAACCCAGGTCTTCTGCAAGAACATTCAGTGTTAACCGCTTAACTGCTGAGCCATCTCTCCAGCCTTGTTTTGTATTTTTTATATTTTATTTATTATTTGTATTTTATGTGTATCAGTGTATTGCTTGCATGTATGTAAATGCATAAATGTCATGCAATGCCCACAGAGTTTAGAAGAGGGCATCAGATCCTCTAGAACTGGAGTTGTTATCCACCATGTGGGTGCTGGGAACCAAACCCAGGTTCTCTGCAAGAGCAGTCAGTGCTCTTAACCACTGAGTCATCTCTCCAGCCCCCTTGTTTTGTATTTTTAAAAACATTTTTTAGCTTATAATAAAAAGCCCATCCCAGATCCAGGAGCTGGCTGACTTCCCAAGAGACTCAATAATTACCAACATGCCAAGTGGGCCCTAAACCTTAGAATGCTGGTTCCTACCTGTGTCTATCAACGCTTGGATGGAGAAAGCACCCCGAAGCTGAAAAATCTTACTTAATGAAGCTGTTTTATAGGGCTCTGTTATGAGTTTTTAAAATCATTTAACTAAAAAAGGATGTAAAATTTATAGGATTTCCTTGAATGAAATAATTTTGTTAATGGCAACTGAAGATATCCAACAAATTGCACTGAAAACTCATGCTGGTACATACTGGCAATCCTGGCCCTTAAGAGGCTGAGGCAACGGGATCGAATGTTTGGAGCAAGCTTGAGCTACATAGTGAGTTTGAGGCCAGCCTGGGTCACGTAATGAGATTAAAAAAAAAAAAAAAACTCAGAAAGCTGCCAGGTATGCCGGCACATGCCTTTAAGCTCGGGGGCCGGGGGCAGCAGAGGCAGGTGGATCTCTGTGAGATCAAGGCTAGCCTGATCTACATAGAGAGTTCTAGGCCAGTAGAGGCAGTAGGAACACTTTGAAAAAACTGTAACAAACCAAAACCAAAATAATCTCCCCAAACCCCCAAACCTCAAAATAACAACTAGAACATTCTGAGAGTGGTAATATAGGACTCAGTGTCTGAAATGGGATCCTAGGTAAGAGTTCTTCAGACTGACCAATTCATGCTGTAGAACTATGTCATAACAACATCGTATATGTTTTATCTTTTATAAAATACCTTTGATTCTGATGCTAATAAAGTTCAAAGATGGGTCCAGAGCCTCAAATCTGAATTAGTATTACACCTGGGAAATGACCATTGAAGCTTTATAAGAACCAGCATCAGCTGGCCATAAAGTATTAGTCTCAATGGAGATACACATTTCAAACCATGAGAGGATACGTCCATAGATCCTGTTAACTTAGGAAAGTTTCAAAGCTGCTTTGGAACACATTGAATTCCTTGGGTATCCTTGTACATCAGTTTAATCTTTTGGAGACAGGCTAGATCTAGTTCAAACCCATGGTCTTTGGATATGGACTGCATCACTGAAGTTGACCCTCAATGAAGGCCCTCTCCTAGGGTAAGAATCAGGCTCAAGCCCTGCATCTGAGGCAACTGACTATACTGGGTCTGACTCTTCATTTGGTTTCTTTACCTGATACAGGTTGGCAAGGTGGTGGTTGGTTTTAATCAAAAATGGTTGGTTCACCCCTGGGTGGTCAACATCATGAGCTGCTGCAGCCAGTAGTCCCAGCATGATGTCCAGAGGGGTGAGGAAGCTGGCCAACTGTTAGAAAATGAAATTGGGAGATTGATTGGTATGCTTCCACAGATACAATGGTTATCCAATAGAAGAAAACATTGTTCAGGCCTGCCAGCCAGACCTTTGCCCTCTAAGTAGTCAGTGAGGTGATAATGTACATGGGATTGCAAGAAGAGAAAGGGCTGGATAGAAAGTCACTGGGCAAACTCAAATTGTTTAGAACATTCAGGCAACCTCCTTTTTCGACTACTGCAAGTTGTGTTGCTGCTGCTGCTGCTGTCAACAGGGTTCGTTGACAATGCTGCTGTCCGGTGAGTTAGAGAAAGCAGACACTGAAATCAGCCTTGCTTGTAGAAAAAGTTATAAATGAAGGAAAACACTTAAAAGGAATGGACACAATTAAAGAACCACTAGTGTGTTTCTTAAAAAAAAATTCATTGTATTTATCATTGTGATGATGATGATGATGATGATGATGATGATGATGTGTGTGTGTGTGTGTGTGTGTGTGTGTGTGTGATATGTGTGTGGGTACACAGGAACATGCATCCCATGGCACATGTGTGGAGACCTTCCACTGTGGGATCTGGGGATCAAACTCAAGTTGTCAGGCTTTTATGTCAAGCACTTTTACCCACTGAGCAGTTTTGCCTGCTCTTAAGCACTTTTGAAAAAGCCTATACTGGGACTTGAACCTAGGACCTCACACATGCTAGTTAAGTACACTACCATTGAGATACAGCCCCAGCCCTGGTATATTTGAACTAATAATCTTTGCCATTTCTTTGAAAGAAGTAGACTGAATTGAAAAATTTACATACTTCTCTAATATATAATAAGAACTAGTGGGAAAATGGGTAAGAATCTTTAAATTTTTGGCCAGCCAGGAAAACAAGCAGGAAAGTGGGAACTCCAGGTCTAACTTAATAACACAAGTACAAATATAATGTGATTTTTAGATGCTTTAGAGGTTGTAAAATAAAGCCCTTGGGATTTTGCAGGTATGAGTCATCCCCCCAGCTTTGTCCTGAGAATGCCTATTTGGTATCTGTGAATTTAGTGGTTTATGTTAAAGCATCTGTATATTTAATGAATCATTACAATTTATTGAATTAAGCAGAGTTTTAGACTGGAATACCATTTTCCAAAAAAAAATTTGAAGAAAATTCATATGGTATATTATACCAAAATTCTATTTTCTAAAATAACTAAAAACTGCCTTGGTTTTAAGTATTGAGCATTATATTATGCTATTTATTGTTTTAAAAATATTATTTTATTATTTTAAAACATGCACATGTTTATGTGTGTATGTTTGTGTGGAGGTAAGTACACATGTATGCAGGTGCCCATGGAAGTCAGAGGCATCAGATCCCCCTGGAGCTGGAGTTACTGGCAGTTGTGAGTCACCTGATGTGGGTGCTGGGAACTGAATTCCAGTCCTCTGGAAGAGTAGTAAATGCTCCTAACCCCTGAGCTGTCTTTCCAGCCCCTATCATTATGCTTTTATTTTCTAATTTAGATTGATTTATTTCATTAGCGCATGCTTACTAACATTCACAAGTGTTCCTGGACTGTGAATCAAAACTTCTTGTTGGCCAAGTAGAAATGGAGCTTGAGACTTCAGGAGTTTTGATTCCACCTTCTGATAAAACCCATGAGGAGGAATGCTTCTCTCAACAGAGCTTAGTGCCATCACCATTTGTGGTAAAGGTCTGTGGCAAAAGAGCCTGTTTGAGGGACCCCTGAAGATCTATGTAAGAGGTAGGCTGTCCTAGAGAAGGTTGATTCAGGCCTCATGCAGCCTTGAAAATCAACAAAATATGAAGGGAAATCTCAGAAAATTCCTATCTCTTTTCATGAATATGGTGATTTTCAGAGGTGATACTGAAACACTAGTGTAATTAATTTGCATTCATATTGTGAATGATTCCTAACACCGGGTAATTTGGAGCTTAGCAGTAATTTAACTAGGCCTTTCCAGATGGCCAGGGAGGCAGCTGGATCTTTACCTTTGGCTCTTTCAGGTAGCAGTGCATGGCCTGGGTGACATCAGCCGCATGAACAGCATTGTGATATGGGTTTTGGCCGTGGTAATCTTCCTGAACCATAACTAGGAGGAAAATAGATAGCTCAGTCAGCTAAAACCAAAACAAGAATGCTATTGTAGATAAGACTTATTGAAGATGCTTTTTGTATCAGAACTTCCCAAAGGCATAGCCTGGTGGATCCTTTAAAACGAAGGTGGTTTGCATGCTTTGCACATTCACTGGGCTGTTTGTAGTGGAGAGGAAGAGATCAGTGAGGTGGGGGTGGGGTGGGAAGGCCAGAAGGATTTGTGAGGCCCTTGGGATTTCTCGCCTCTTCCATAAATTGCCCCTTCCTGGCATTCATGAACATTCTCATTCATAGAAAAATAAATAGGAAAAGGAAAAAGAACAACTTTATTTCACACCATCGTTTAATTATTTAAGTTTGCTTCCATTTAGTAATAATATACTGTAAATGAAGCTTCCTTTCAGAACTCTTGTGCATCAAATTCTTGCTGTCCAGTGATTGGATTACATTTGAATAACAAACACTGACCCAAGCAAATGTGGGCCTTCCTCATGTAGAAATTGAAGAACTGAATTGACCCAAGGGAGGCCTCCTTGGATTCATGTTTCCCTTATTCAAAGCATCATCTTTCATGCCCCTCCAATATAAAGCAAGCCTCAGAGTACTCTTGGAATCATGTCCAATAACAGGCAGCTCAGTTTTGGTTTGTTGCTCATAGACACCACTAGCCTGCTTTAGGAAATAACCAACTCAGTACTTGGGATGCAATATAGTCAGTGTATAGAGAATGTTCAGATTTACAATAGCATATTCTTTTAAACCATGCTATGAGTCTGGCTCTGGGTTTTGCTTAATTCAGCTGTCAAGGCTGTATTTCTTACATGTTCTAGGGGCACATATATGTGTCCAGAGAATCTGTATCTCTTTAGACAAATCAAAATTATTTGGCCACTTTAATGGTTATTACTTTGCTCAAGCAATTAAAATACAATCAGCCTAAGGTTATTTATGTTTCTGGAAAGGAGCCATGTTGTGGCTGGTTTCTCATAAATCTACTATGCTGCACAAACCTTTTATTCAGCAGGCTTGTTTGCAATTGTACTTAAACTCTAGCTCTATGATTTATTTGTATTAAGCAAGTTACTTATTCACAATTCTCAGCCTCCTTCTCTATGACTTGGGATCACAATACCTCTGAGTGCAAGGTGTTGCTGCAAGGATTCCACGTGTTAATATATGCAAATCCTTGAAATGGATCCCAGAATATGTAAGCACTCTGTGAGCCTGACTGTTGAGGCTGTTTTATTTTACTCCCAATGGTATTGAGTTGACTTTCAAATCCAAAATACAACCATGTGGTAAGTCAAAGGACCCAAAAACATGTTAAGTGGCAGAGGCAAGCCATTTGATGATCAAAAATCTACTTTAGATAGTTCATAGGCAGATAAATAAGAATATGCCCAGAACCAAAGAAGAAGTGGGGCTGCTTTTAGAGAAGTACTGATGGTGAATATTGAGTGGAAAGACGATGGGCCTTCAAGTCAGATCGGTCTGGGTGGGAACTCAGATTTTGCCACTTATTGACCATTATTCTTGGAAAGTAATGAAACCTTTTGCAGCCTTCTTACTGTGGACCAAATGATGACAGTTGTAGCCAACATGTAGGTTTGTGCAAATGGTTAGAAATAACTACCTAAAGTATCCTGCTCATAGTGGGTGGTACTTAAATTGTAGTTGTCATTAAAATTTTTTAATCATATTCTGATTAGAAATATTTGAGGCATACCCCAGTGCAATTTTATTAATATGAGAGCATATAAGAATATTATTGACAATTATATGCTCTTGATAGTTTTCTTTATAGATCCTTAATGTATTGTAAATGTTACTGATCAAGCGATTATTAATGATTTAGGATGTGTAAGATATATATATATATTTTCAGGGCAGGTCTACACCCTCAATATCCATTTATTTAAACTCTCTCTTTTTAAAAATTTAATGATTTTTTTTGTGTATTTCATACAGAACATCCCAAACAATCTTATTCATCTTTATACTCGCATCCCAAATGACCCCCTCCCATAGCGCCCCCCCCCCCACTGGAGCCTATATTCTCTGTCATCCCTGTTACTGTCCACTGTGTTATCAGTGCCCCCAGCCATTACCCAGTGCTAGTCCATCCACTGAATCTAGTCAGCCTATCTAGAGTTCCTTGTTTTAGGAAGATCAGCTCTTCCTCATCTAGCAGCAACCAGTTGCCAACGTTCTTTTAGATAAGAGTGGGGTCTGCTGTTCATTTTCCCAGGTCTATGCTGAGTTACTGTCTGGAAGTCTCTTGGGCCACCCTGGCCAATAACTCAAAGGAAGGTATCTCCTGTCTGCATTGTTTCTTGTTATGTAGCCTTTAGCTATACACATGGACTCTCCAAGAATTATACTGATCACTTTACTCTTTGCTTATACTTTCCTTTTAGGTGTTTAAAACCATACAGTTGGCCCAGATTAACCAATTTATTTTTATTCTTAAGATCGTTTGAGGATCTGTTCCTCAGGGGTCACATGGGATAAGCTATATTTTAAAACTAGGATTAGATAACTTAAGATTAATTTGAGGTCTTTTTCCATAATATTATGGCTCTTGACACTTTTTTTTTCCTTTGAGACAGGGTCTCCCTATAGCCTCAGGTGGCCTGGAACTTGCTTTGCAGACCAGGCTGGGCTCAATCTCACAGAGATCTGCCTGCCTTTGCCTCCCAAGGGCTGGAATTAAAGGCATATGTGTCCATACCCAACCTCTTGATACTTTTTGTCAGAGAATTATGTACTGTCCTTATTCACAAGGTTGGCATAGGAATTTAGAAGAAAGACTTACCTAAAAACCTGTGTAAGGTCACCATATCCAACTTGAAATGGTGGATGAGTCCATGGGTATTAAAGAGGTGGCACAGCAGTGTTACCAGGCTGTTTCCTGGAGAGGAACAGTCACTTGCTTTAACTTAGTTTTTTATTAAACATACTAGCAAGACTGAAAATAAGATTCAAAGTCACTGAAATAAGGTTTCTGTGATAAAATAATTTTCTCCCTTTGGATGTGAAATTATTCAAGAGGGATTATGATCTTGCCCTAAGTTTTCTGTTATTTTCCAAATAAAATTAGCTTGTACCTACCTTTACCCTGCCGAAGAGGCAAAGAAAATCCTAAATGAAGGAGTCTGTCAACTGAAGTATTGGGAGCACGCACACACAAGTATGTTTATGTTATGTGTATTATTTCAAAACACAGTGAGTGGCAGGGCTGGAGAGATGGCTCAGTAGTTAAGAGCACTGGTTGCTCTTGCAGGGGACTCAGGTTCAATTCCCAGCACCCACATGGTGGCTAACAACTGTCCATCACTCCAGTTACAGTGGATCTGATGCCTTCTTCTGACCTCTGTGGGCATTGCACTACACAGTTGCATTCACATACATGCAGACAATGCACTCACAAAAAAGTAAAAATAATAAATGAAAAAACCACAGTGGCCATTTGAAATGTGCTTTAAGTCACTTAGAATTAATTCTTAAACTAACAGTGATATTTAATCACTAGATTGCTCAAAAGTGGTAGCCTGGTCTCAAGAAGGCTTATCCAAGAGGAGACTATGAGATATTTTACAATTCAAGCTAGAAAGAATGCAAAGTTAAAGCTATAATAACGTTAACATTCAAGAAATATTGTTTATTCAAGACTCGTTTAAGAGTGAGACTCTTGGTTGGTTGACTAGCCTCCAGTGAATGAACCCACACTGAAGGGCATTTGGGGACACAAACCCTGACTCTATAGGCCATTATATATATATATCAGGAAATCTGGTGGGGGACTAGTAAGGCAGGGTGCAGATATGGGAAAGGTTCTAAATATGATCAACATATATTGTATGAAATTCTCAAAAATTCAATTATAAAGGAAAAAATTATTGTATTTAAAAGAGAAAAAAACTATTCATTTGTATACTTGAATCCTCTAGTCTGTATTTTGCTGTGGGAATAAATAAATACCCAATACCATAGGCAATAAAAGAATAATCATTTTGAATTTAAAATTATGTATTTATTTATTTAGACAGGGTCTTATTGTATGTAGACCAGGCTGTCCTCAAGCTTATGACCCACTTGCCTGAGCCTCCAGAGCGCTGGGATTACCTCCATGTGTCACCTTGCCTGACTGAATTTTAAAAGCATTACGGAATTTATTTAACACTTTGCAGTGGACCAAGAAGCTACCTTTTGTCTTCAGTGGAACCTAGTTGTTGCCAAAGCATATCCTAGGGTACCTGATTCAATGGATCTTGGCAAATTTTATTGTCTAGGAGCTATTTCAAACTCTCCAAGTTAGAGATACCTGATAATGTTGCAGATGAAATTAGTCTAGTGATTTTACCTTTCCAGCTTCACAGCTGTTTATAAAGTCATTTCAGTGTTTCTTATTGCATATGTGTGTGTATGGTTCTTTGACATTTCCTTTTCTTATGTTAGTGGCCCTCTAATTGACTGAGATGAACACAATTTTTGATGGATTCAATTCTCATTTCTGTAACAGCCATGATTATATTGTGTTTCAAACACCATTTAACAGGTTCTTTTGCTCACAGTTTGTTTCACTTATCAGTGCCCACTTCTAGTTGATTTGAGCAAAGTGAGATGCAACATAATAGAATCCAGGACTCCATTTGTTTTATATATGTTCCACTTAACTTTCCACAGAGTAAAAAAATCCACGTCATGATCTTAGAAGCACCTTTCCTACTGCACATTGTTTGCCGAGACAATGGTGACAATACCATCTGCAGTGATTTACTGCACAAATATGAAGATGATGGGATCATCATCAGCATCAAATGATGCCTTTCACTGATGCCCTAATATTATATTTCTTACTGATGCTTATCTATATTTGTTTGACGAGTGAGGGAAATATATTTTATTTTGTTAGGCAAAGTTTTTATAGACATGAAAATATGAAAAGACAGACCAATGGTAATGCTGAGCTTACAGCTATAGCCCAAGCTTTTACAGTTGCTCCTTAGCAATTGTTTTCTTCTGATGATGCCAAACTCGTATGGGTAGTACTACAATCAGCAGGCTCAGCTCACTTTAAAAAACGTATGCAAGCGCCTTGCCTCATAAATCAGGACTAGTCAGATTGTGCCTGTGTGTTCAGTTTTCATTGTCTAACAACGAACACCCTACGTTTGGACATCATCAAAATATTCTGAGAGGAAAGAATGTTATTGATAGTTTCTTTCAGAAGAAAACTGTCTTAATATCCTAAGGTCAAATTTAGTCTTTATTCTTCATCTGAATTAATTTTCCATTGCTGGGTCCTTCTTGACTGACTGTGGCTTTATGAGAGTGGGAAAAAAGGAAAAAAGTTACTGTTTAAACTGAAAATTTGTTTCTCAGGGGATGAATTCCACTTTATGATGTGTATTTTAGTGAGAATTCTTTTGGGTAACTTACCATTTGTCAAGCGATCAAACAAGAAAATGTCAAAGTCCCACATTCCCACTTTGGAGAGCATATGCTGAAAAGGCAAACAAAGCAATAGCGTCCAAATGAATCACATCGAGACTCAAACATTTACTTGGAGACACAGTGATTTAAGCAATTAAGAAGTTGTAAATAATAACATAGTTCTGTATGTACAACTGGGTTGGAGTAAACCAACTTCTGCTCCATTCACTAGTGACAGCTCAAAGAACAGGCTCTGAAGTTAAACTATCTGGTCTAATGTCAGCCACTTCTCTTCCTGGCTATGGGACCTTGGATGCATTTCTTAACTTCTCTGCCCTTCACTTTCTTTATCTAAACAAATGTGGCTAATAGTAATCTACATTGGAGGATCGTGCATATCTGAAGTGCTTGGCACAGTGCTTATTCACAGGGAGCACAAGTATTGATATGTGTTTAATCTTAGCTCAGTGAAGTGTCTGCATCACAAGCTACTATATGAGAAGGTTTGCAACAAAGTTTCACTATGTTTGTTTTTGTGGTGTTTGGGGTTGAACTCAGGGTCTTGTGCTTGCTAGACAAGCAGTCTACCACTGAGCTACATTCCCAGTTCTTATCACAAATATTTAAAAAACCATTGCTGAGCACATTACTTTGCTCAATGTGACTGAATGTAAAATTAACCACTGTATAAGAAGTTGAATAATAGCAAAGCACTAGATAATTTAAAGTTCTATTATATAATGAAGATTTTTTAAAATTAAAACAAGCCATGGTGACATCAAAGTGTCAGTGGTTCATTCTTTATGTACTCCTGCTCCTAAAACTTTACTCATCTTTCTTTGAAGGCACAGTCACTTACACGGGGGCTAACTCACCCTATCCCTGAGTAGTTCGGTGTCCTATGAAAAATCTAAATGCCTTATATGGCACACTAAACCCTCACAATGTATTAGAGAAATAAAGGGATGATGGAATTTTTTCTTTGAGATGGGGTTTCACCATGTAGCCTTGGCTGGCCTGGAACTCACTATGGACACCAAGCTGGCCTTAAACTCATGGACATCTGCCTGCCTCTGCCTCCTGAGTGCTGGGATTAAAGGCGTGTGACGCTATGCCTAGTGATAGATTATTTTTGAAGTCTGTTCTGAATGAGCCTTTACACAAATCATACAATGTGTAAGGCAGACCCATCCCTTGCTCTCAGCCAGACTTCTGGTATACTGTTCTTTCTACATTTCAACATCACTTTTTTTAAGTGTGGCTGCTTAGAAGGGAGAACCTACTACAACTGCACTGTCATTAGTACTTCAGTGGTATAGAACCGTATTAATCTCCTTTCAACCAGTTACCAACTTCCCACCACCTAACCAACTACCCGCCAACCACCACACATCCACCCAACCACTCACTCACTCACTCAACTAATCCATCAACCATCAAATACCAATTAACCAGCAATCACCCACCAACCAGCAACTACTATCACCCACTGACCTACTCACCCACCACTCACCCACTGCCCACCAACCAATCACCTATCATTCACTAACCAGCCATCTACCACCAAACAGCCAACCATTTGCCAACCAACCATCTACCAACCAAACATCCACAGTCCAACCAGTCACCAGTCACCAACCAACTAACCAACAAACCAATCAACCAGGCACCTACTAATCAACCACAACTAGCACCTATCCATACACCTACCAATCAACCATCTACCAACAGCCTACTATCCACTAACCTACCAACCAAACACTGACCCATATACCACCACCACCAATCAACTAATGATCCACCTACCAACCAATCATTCACCAACAAAACACTGAACAACTACCCACTATCAGCAACCAACCAACCAACCACACACACACCAACTAATCCTCTATCAACCAAACACTGATCACCCACCCACCCACTACCATCAGCCAACTAACCAGCTAGTCATGCACTGACCAACTACTCACCCACCATCACCAACCAACCAACCATCCATCCAACAACCAACCAACCACTGGTCAATCAGCTACCAACCACCAATTACCAACCAACTAACCAGCCAACCAGCAGTTTACTGTCTCACCCTTGGTTGTTGCAAGGATTGATATTTTTTCTCCTTTCTAGATGTCATATTGGGAGTTAGCTCTTCTGATGTTATATTCACTTCTTAATGGCATATATGTAGTAACATATAGTCATATGTAGATACTACTTACCATGTAAGCTATAAAATACTACTTTTGACTTCTGTTTAAATTTCAGTTTACCCCTAAAATTTAAATTCCTTTGTAATTTAGACTAGAGGTAACTTTAAAACTATTTTGGATCATCATCTATTAATTTCTATACTTACCAGATTAATGTAGAGTGAAAATAGTTGTAAAATTATTAAAAAATATTTGAATTAATTAAAAATAATGAAAAAGGCTAATATATTGCATTAATAGCTTAAAGTAGAATTAAGAGTTGGAAATTATTGGGTTATTTTCAGTGTCACTATTACAATGAGATAATAGGGTTTAACATATCTAACAATGCATGAAACTTAGCAGGGCGCAATGGGGTGCAGATAGGGGAGGAAGTCTAAATATGATCAAGATGTATTGTATAAAACACACAAAACTTCAATAAAAATTTTTAAATTTTAGTTACAACCTAATTAGCAATCCTCCAGTCCAAATTTTATTTTGCTTAGTGTTGTATGAACAGGTTTTGCATATTTATAAAACTGAAACAGCTAGCATATGTTAAGCATGATTATTTACTCAGGATTAGAGGTGTAGCTCAGATGTGGAACATGTACTTAGCTTGCATGAGGCCTGGGTTTAATCCCTAGCCTACCTTCCCACCACCACCACCACTATGTTATATCTAGTTAATCCTTAATAACTTTCATGAGGTAATGGAATGTTTACGGCATTCATTTTACATATGAGGAAAAAGTCCAGTTGCACTGAATAATACACAGTGCCTGGGAGGCAGAGTAGACTCAATCCCAGGTGCTGTGAGCTAGGGCAAGGCTCTTGGCCACTGCCTGCCTCAGGGAGACCTTGAGAGGACTGGCTTACCCTTGCTTGTCCAAGGTAGTCTTCATCCAGCAGGTGGAGGGGAGCTTGTGGTATAATTCCACGAAGCAGCCTTGATGCATGGAAGTATCTTTGGAAACTTAACAGTCTTTTCACCTTTTTCTTGGTGCCAATTTCCCCTGAGTGTGTTGTATCTGTGAAAAGTAATCATAGGCAGAAGTTCATATGTTTAAAGGAGAGCTTGTTTTCTCTACTTCATAGGGTGTAATGTATTAGAAAGGAGATAAGATTAAAAGATGATCTCAGTACTTTGAGGGATACATTAAGTTGAATAGGTTCTGTTAACTCCGTGTTTGAAATTTTTCTAATAAATGAAATAAACGATCTTCTCTCCCTCCAACTTCTGGTAGGTACTCACTATGTAGGTTGATCTCAAAACCACGCTCCTTCCACTGCAGCCTCCAGGGTACTGGGATTATCACAACTGGTTTGATAATTGCTATATATTTTAAATATATATATTTCTTACATAATTTTGGATGATATGAACTACATGAATTAAAAACTGCACTTTTTTTCGGTTAAGTTCTTACCCCAAGCTCTCTCCATAATTAGAATATGGTGAGAAACATGTTTCCTATTATCTTTGGAATATCATTGGCAAAGGAATAAAGGAATCTCACCATGAAAGTGACCAATAATGCCACTAACAAGAAGCAAAGGGGACGTTTGCTTTCAGATGAAGTGTGTTCTCTTTGCTGATAGCCATAAATGTCTGATCTTTGCAGTAGAGATTATTTAATGCTCATGTCTTATATACCTTTTAAAACTTGATATTAACATCATCATGATTTCCAGAAATATGCCAGGTACATTATCTGAGTATCTGTTATGGTATGTCTTATCTCAATTGAAATTGTGAGTCACTCTAGGACCACAAAAATGATGTTTGCTGCCAAATTTGGATGTAGAGTTGATGAAATAGTCAAGTAGGAAAATGTATAGCTTACATATAATTTTTTTTCTGCCATATCTTCTCTCAAAAACCCATTTCCCCTATGGAACTCAAAATCATAAAAAATGAAAAAGAAAAGAAAAGAAAGAAAGAAGGAAAGAAAGAAAGAGTCAGAGGAAACAGAGCATTCCTTGAGGGCAATGAATGACCACCATCTGTAATGTATTACTTGGCTGTATTAAGCATGAAAAGGCATAATTCAGAGCCATAAAAACCTACTCTCTGGAAATGCTGCCTGGTAAAAATTATTTGTATTTAAAAAATGGATTTAGATTCTACCCATGGAAAGAAGCAAACATATGCACATGAAGATAAGTAGCAAATGACGGAGGTTGTGGTTGGTCACACATCAATATTAAAAATGGTGTCTGTGGACTCCTTTCTGCTGATGGGTTCTCATTCGTTTCCATGAGCTTGTGTCCTAGTTTTCTTTCTGTTGATGTGACTCAAACACTGGCCAAAATTAACTTGGGGAGGAAAGAGTTTATTCCACCTTACAGCTGACAGTTCATCATAGGGGGAGCCAGGGCAGAAGCTCAGGGTAAGAACATGGGGGCTGGAGCTGAAGCATAGGGCCATGGAGGAATGCTGCTTACTGGCTTGCTCCTCTGACCTGCGCTCAGCCTGCTTCATATACAACCCAGGACCACCTGCCCACAGTGTAGCATTACCTATAGTGGGCTAAGCCCTCTCACATTCTCAACAACCTAGAAAATCCCTCCCAGATATGGCCACAGGCTAACATGATAGAGGAAATGAGGTTCCTTCTTTCTGGGTGTGTCAAGTTGACAACTGGAGTTATTCAGCACAGCTTGTTAAATCAAAGTACCAGATAAAGTGAAGTATATCACTGATTTATTTAAAAGACCCAAATGCCTACTATGGTGTATTCACTATTCTAAACACTACAGTGAGAAAAACACACATCTCTGCCCTCTGACAACTGATGTGGCAGAAGGAGATTGATAACATACAACATAAGAGTAAGTAAATAATAAAATGTGTTTGAAGACAAGTGCAATGGCATGTATGTGGGGGTGGGGAAAGCAGAGAACAAGGGACCAGAAGCTCTGTGTTGGTGCTAGTCAGTCTGGGCCTAATACAATTTGATCCAAACTAGAATGGGAAGAGGGAATTAGCTAAGCGAATACCTGGGGACATACCTTCCGTGCATAGAAACCAGATCAAAGAATTAGCAGCAGCGGGAGCATGCCTGGAAAGTGTGAAATGAACAGAAGGACCCAGTGGAGTAGAGAGCAGAGAAAAGGGTAGAAACTTGAGTTGAAGATGCTGGCAAAGTAAGTCTAGTCCTTGTGGGAGATCACTAGGGAGATATCGATGTGAAAGTTGTCAGGCAAAATTGCCCAGAGAGTAAATGTCAATATAGATGAGAAAACAATCCAAGTGTGAAGTCTGGAATAACTCCGCTTCACATTCAGAATGGTTCAGAGAATAAGGAAAGTTACTAGAGCTAAAGAAGGAGCAGAGGAAATCAGGAGAACATCATTTCCTGGAAGCCTACTGACAAAATGCAACAAGAGGAGATCCTAAGTATCAGACATCATTAGTGGGTCAGGTACAATGAACACCAGGAGTCGACTACAAACTGTACACTTAGAACACATTTTATTATATGCACATGCAACAATACCGCTTAGCAATGAATACATCTAGCACCCAGGGGAACTGGCCAACTTTGACTGGGTCAAAAAATATCCAAATGAATGTGTTACGCCAGAAAATAAATGAGAATTTGAAATATGATGACATCATTTGAAAATGACAGAGGATGGGCTGGTGAGATGACAGCTGGTAAAGGTGCTTGTTGCCAAGCCCGATGATCTGAGTTGAATTCCCAGGACCCACATGGTAGAAGGAGAGAATGACTCCCACAAGTTGTCCTCAGTTTCCACTTTGCATGTGCATACACACAGAATGTGATGGAGGAGGCAACCTGTAAGGGGTCCCTTCAAGCAAAAGGGAAAAACTTGAGCTTCAAAGTAAAGTGATGGAAGAGTTAGATTTTAAAACTTCAACTGAAACTTAGAAAATCAATGAATCGATGGTAAAGCAGGCAAACATCTAAAATAAGAAAAGTTCTCTGCAGAGTGTGCTGCCCAGTAAATGTAGAAGAAATAATAGCGTTGGAAAGTTGCCATTTTGCAGTCATCATAGTAATAACAAAATCAGGCCATATCCTTAATGGTTATTAAAATGAAGAAAATTTGGAAAGCAGCAGGTAGCTGCATAATACCATAGCATCTCTCTGAGTATTAATTGGATGGAGAAAATGGGGTGCTTTTCTAGTCAACAAATATAAAAGAGTATCATCTTCATTAAGTATTCAACACTCCCTAATAATGAGAGACTGACATTTTTCACTCCCTTACATACTACAATAATGCAATAGCACAGATGTAGGAGTTCTACCCAAATGTGCAAGTGATTTCAATATAGAGGAAACATCAGGAAAGCCTAGGTTGAAGGACACTACAAAAAATTAGCTTGTACTCTTAACAAAATCTCAATATCATCAAACAAAGATAGGGTTAGGCATTATGATTTCATAGCAATAGACACCACAGATACTGCACTAAATGCAATGTGTGGTCCTAAATTGGAACATAGAGCAGAGAAAAATGCCCATAAATGACATTAAGATAATTTGTGAAATTTGGATATGGAATAATACTGTATTTGCAAATTTCTTGAATTTGATAATGGAAGTTCATAAGGTAATGCCCTTTTTCTTTGAGAAATATAGGTTATATATAGACTAAGGGGTATAATGTGTACAATTTTCTAAATTAAAAAATATGCAGCAGTAGGACAAATACTGTAAAATATGACAGTTGGGCATGTGGAGAGAGCATATGATTTGTTCTACTCTTGAAGACTTTCTACACATCTGAAATTATTTTATTTTTACAATATTTTATTGATTATTTTTGTTTTATGTGTATGAGTGTATTGCCTGAATGTATGTAAGCATGCCCATGTCATGCAATGTGCGTGGAGGTCAGAAGAGGGCATTGGATCTCTGGAACTGGAGTTATGAATGGTTGTTGGCTGCCATCCGAGTGCTGGGAACCAGACCCAGGACCTCTACAAGAGCAGTCAATGCTCTTAACCATTGAGCCATCTCTCTAGCCCTTGAAATTATCTTATAATAAAACGTTTTAAATGTGGCAGAAATACACATTGCGGCCAGCTGCAGAAAGAATGAAATCACATCATTTGCAGGAAAATGGATGAAACTAGAGATCATTTTGTTAAGCAAAATAAATCAGACCCAGAAAGACAAATATTGCATGTTTTCTCTCATATGTAGAATTTAGATTAAACAATATATGATATTGAAGCAGAAGGGGGGCTATGTGGAGGAAGAGAGAGAGGGAGGGTGACAAATGGTGGGGACAATAGCTTAGTAGACTCTTGTTCTATTGAAAAGTATACATGCTGGAGACCTTCTTAAAAGTAAGTCTTGGGGGCTGGAGAGATGGCTCAGGGTTAAGAGCACCAGCTGCTCTTACAGAGACCTGGGTTCTGTTCCCAGCACTCACATTGCAGCTCGTAACCATCCATAACTCCAGTTCCAGGGGTTCTGATGCCCTCTTCTGGCCTCTGTAGGCACTGCACACAGGTAGTGCACTTACATATACACAGGGAAAACACTCATACACATAATAAAAATAAATAGATCAAAAAAGGAGAGAAAATAGGAAAAGGGAAATCTGAAATAATGCTAAGTACAGATAACTCCTTTAAGGCATTTGATTGTACAAGAGAGTAAAAGAGTGAGAAATACAATACAATAGTTCCATAGAGAATGGAGTCAATTCTTCCAATACACAAATAATATCAATTACTTCTATTACACACACACACACACACACACACACGCACACACACACAAAGCAAATCTAAAAGGAAGCATCCACATAACAGTCTACTCCTTTTTTTATTGTATGAGAATTCTCCCATCCTAAAACACTAGCTCAATATGCTTCTATTTACATAACAGAAGGAGTCAAGAAGGTAACTTTAAGTAAGGGAAATATGCCACAAACATATCAAAGTGATAATACGAATAATCCATTTTAATTTTACATTTAGTTTTCCAAGTAGAATAACACTAAGTAGATTTATAATTAAGACAATGACTTTTAAATTAAGTTA